ACCACCGTCGCCGCCACCGCCACCACTACCATACCACCGCAACCACCGTCGCGCGCCACCACCATACCACCGTCGCGCGCCACCACCATACCACCGCCGCCACCACCACCATACCACCGCAACCACCGCCACCACCACCAGACCACCACCACCACACCACCACCATCACACCACCACCACCACCATCACACCACCGCTGCTGCCACCACCACGACCATACCACCGCAACCACCGCCGCCACCACTTCCACCATACCACCGCAACCACCATCGCCACCACCACCACCACCACCATAGTACAACCGCAACCATCGTCACCACACCACCACCACTGCCACCACCGTCATACCACCACCAGTTATTATTATTATTATTATTATTATTATTATTATTATTATTATTATTATTATTATTATTATTATTATTATTATTATTATATAACAAATAACACCACCACCACCATAATATTTTTAATATATTATTGGTTATTTTTTATTTATATTTAAAACTATTATTATATTATTATATATTATTATACATGTTGTAATATTCTAAATAAAATAATTAAAATGTTTAATTATACAATTCTACTCATTTTCGAGAAAATGAACCAAACACACAAAAATAGTTTTCCAGAATGCAACCAAACATGGGAAAGGAAAATGTTTTCCGAAAAATGACTCATTTTCCAGAAAATATTTTCCAGAAGTCATTTTCATACTTTCCAAACGGACCCTAAATAAAATTCTTTTTTTGATTAAACTAAATAAAATTCTTTAAACACGGAAAAAAATGCAATTGGGTCTAATTATTAGTATAAAATAGACTTGATTTGGTGTTACGCTTTCATGCATGTATAGTACTTTAAAAGTAGTGATGAGAATGTATGTAAAAGTGTTGTATTCGATAATGATTTCTGGGAGTACAGAATACCAATATAAAGATACGAAGTAGAGTTCTAGTCTAATACTAATAATATAGTTCTAATACTCTCCCTCAAGCACAAGGTTGGCTAGTCACAACATTGAGCTTGTCACGAAGAGAATTAAAACAAAAAGATGAAAGAGACTTAGTAAAAATATTCGCTAGCTGATCCTTGGTTGAGATAAAGTGAGCCTGCAACTCCTTTTTAGCTACTTTATCGCGAACAAAATGATAGTTAATCTTAATGTGTTTCGTGCGGGCATGAAACACTGGATTGACACATAAGTAAGTAGCTCCCAAATTATCACACCATAGTCGAGGCGGAGACGTGGGAGGAATGCCAATCTCGTTCAACAGGGAAACGAGCCAAGTCACTTCTGCAGAGACATCAACCAGTCCCTTATATTCTGCCTCAGTTGAAGAACGTGCCACAGTTCGTTGCTTTCGACACACCCAAGGTATAAGATTGCTGCCCAAAAATACAGCGAATCCACTAGTAGATTTGCGATCATCCGGATCACCAGCCCAATCCGAATCAGAATAAGCATGGATATCAACAGAGGCAGACCGAGAAATCCCAATACCGAGATTCAGAGTGCCCTTGATATACCGTAGAACTCTTTTATGATTAGCCCAGTCCGTAGTGGTGGAAGCATGCATGTGCTGACACAGAAGGTTAACAGTATAAGATAAATCAGGTCGAGTTACCGTAAGATATTGAAGAGCACCTGCCATACTTTTGTATTGTGTGGGATCGGCATAGGGGACTGCAGGATCGGCGCTAGCCTTTGCAGATGATACCGGCGGGCTACTGGCTTACAATCCACCATACCAGCACGTTTGAGAATATCCTTCATATATCGCTGTTGTGACAAGAGCATACCGCCAGATAATGGAACAGTTTCAATACACAAAAAGAAAGAAGGCACACCCATATCACGAACCTTGAACTCAAGTGCTAATTTATCAATAAGAGCAGTAACACGATCTGAATCAGAACCCATAACCAAAATGTTATCCACATATACCAAGAAATAAAGACGAATGATGTCACGCAAATAAATGAAAAGAGACACATCCGTCTTTGAGGGCGAGAAGCCCACAGAGACAAGAAAATCATGCAACCGTGTGAACCAGGCACGCGGTGCCGGTTTAAGACCGTACAAAGATTTCTGGTGTTGACACACATGATCAGTCAATGACTTGTCCTCATAACCAGGTGGCTGACGCATGTAAACAGTCTCAGCTAGCTTACCATTCAAAAATGCGTTGTGAATATCCAACTGCCGTATGGTTCACCCACGTGATACCGCTAAGGAAAGAAGAATGCGTACCGTAGTCGGTTTAACCACATGACTGAAAGTTTCAAAAAAGTCTTCCCCAACGACTTGATTGAAACCTTTTGCAACCAGTCGAGCTTTATAACGCTCAATGGAACCATCAACCTTTCTCTTGGTTCTGAAAATCCACTTACATCCAACGACATTCATACCTGGACGGAATGGAACAAGCCGCCATGTATTATTGTGTAGCAAGGCATTAAATTCCAAGTCCATTGCATCACGCCACTCAGGGAACTTGGCAGCTTGAGAGTAACAAGTGGGTTCAGCCGCAGCCGTAGTGACCAGTGCGACGTGCTCATAAGGCCCCATACTTCGCGTGGCCATGACGTGCGATCGGGGTCGCGAAGCCGCCCGACGACTACGACCACGGGGCCATCCCCACTGCCGGACTGCCTGGTCCGAAATAGTCCGCTCAGTGGACGCGGACCGTTCCGGCGAAGCAGCTGGAACGGGATCACCGTCGGCAGTGCGGTCGGCGTTCGGGATGGCAGCAACCGAGCTTGGATCAGGCACCACGGGCGCAACTGCCCACGGTTCCGGAGAAGATGTAGCAACCTGCGACACAACACGAGCAACAAATGGAAAAACAGTCTCATTGAACCGCACGTGGCGACAGATAAAGACCTTGTTAGTGTTAGTGTCCAAACAACGATAGCCACGAAAAGACGGAGGGTAACCCAGAAAGACACAAGGAGAGGAACGAAACTGAAGTTTATTACGATTGTATGGACGTAAGACAGGAAAGCATAAGCACCCAAACACTCGCAAGTATGAATAGGATGTGGGAGACCGATGCAAACGAAAATGAGGGGACTCGTCAGACAAGACACGAGTAGGCATCTTATTTATCAAATCGACAGCGGTTTCAAACGCGTAGTCCCAAAAATGAGATGGGACAGACGCTTGAGCAATTAAAGAAAGTTTGGTCTCAACAACATGGGGATGCCTACGTTCTACCCGACCATTCTGCTCGTGAGTATACGCACAAGATTGCCTGTGACGAATACCCAATGAAGCAAGAGTGACGCCAAGCTTTTTATACTCTCCCCATATATCAGACTGAAAAGAAATAATCTTGCGAGAAAAAGAACGTTCAACAAGTGACCGGAACTTATCAAATATGGCATATAATTCAGACTTAGCACGCATTGGATAATACCACATATAACGTGTGTAATCATCCACAAACAACACAAAATATTTAAAGCCATTTGCAGAAAGTAATGGTGCAGGGCCCCAAATATCTGAATATATTAATTCCAAAGGTTGCGTACTAGTAGTCTCAACACGAGACAAAGGAAAAAGAGAAGATTTTCCCAATTGACAAGATGAACATACATTGGGAAGATCACTAGAATTAAATTTGATAACAGACGAAGACGCTAGAATTTTACGTAAGACTTTAGAATGAGGATGCCCCAACCGCATGTGCCAAATGTAAGAGGATCGCCCAGCAACAAACGCAGCAGGAGCTGAAGAAGACGCAGGCCATGTGTAGAGACCTCCAGACGCATGTCCCTTAAAAGAACCTTCTTGGTCAAAATGTCCTTCACATAGAAACAAAGGAGGTAAAACTCAAAGAAAACATTATTATCCTTCACAAAACGCTGAACAGATAATAGAGAGGAAGAGAGACCAGGGACATGTAAAACATCACGTAATTTAAATGACCTAGAATTAGTGGCTAACAAAGTGGAACTAACATTAACAATGGGCAAACTTGTACCACTGCCGACTCGCAGAGTCTCCGGCCATCATAATTTTTCGCAGAAGTCATCAAGGATGAATCAGGCGTAGCATGGTTCGTAGCACCAGTGTCAGAAAATCACTCATGAGGACCACTGGAATCACCATTATCACTAGAGACGGCCACATTCGCCTGAGGAGCCGGGGGAGTCATGAAACGTGCCAACACGAAAGAGCACCGTGACCTAGCTTGTTGCAAACCTGGCACCGCGGACCCGAATTCGAACCGCAACCCCGACCACGGCCGCGTCTTTGACCGCCCGAGCCGCGGCCTTGCTGCTGCGTCATGCCGCCACGGCCACTGTGACCAGCAGCCACACCGCCTCTACCCGCGGCCATCGCAACTGGCGCTATACCGCCGACACCATCGTCAGCACATATCCATTCCTCTGACACCAAGAAATCCGCCACTTCTGTAAGCAAAACCGGAGCACCCCGAGCCAAGATCGCCACAAGCGGACGAAATTCAGACCGCAAACCACGAAAGACGTATAAATTCTGATCATCTAACGTAACGTTGCGACCGACAAGAGCCAAATCATCAACCAACATGCCACCATGATTGAAACTCAAAACACAAAATTAAACCCAGATTTAATTTACAGACAGGCCAGGTGTGAATCTACTCAAAAGCAGTTTTATATATATCCATTGCAATATATATATATATATATATATATATATATATATATATATATATATATAATTGATTAATAATCTGGAGAATTGAATCATCACTTTCTGTTGGATGTAACACATAATGTTATGCGGGTACTAAAAACGCAACCTGCGCAAGATACGTGTGTGTTTGATCAACCACCGAAGAAGATTCCTAATCAAAATAACAACGTCCCTTATTAACTGCCACCTGGTAAAGTTAGGAGAAAGATATACTCATAAAACAACATTATTGTCAAATGCATGTCAACATCTGAAAGGATGATCTATTCCTGTCGTCTCTGATCTCACTTCACTTTAATTTGCCAACTTCCAATTTCTTGTTAGTTCTACCTACTACTCCCACCCTAAACCAAAACCAGAAAAAAATAAACTCTCTTTCCTTCACTCTTAGAAATCCTCAGTTTTCTTGAACATAAAACTATGTTAGTTGTACTATAATCTTTCTGGAAAACAAACCCTTCCACAAAAATATTATTTCTTGGAAAAATCTTAACTTGTATACATACATACATACACCCATAATACTACTCTACAGCCATGGGGGAAGAAAATGCTTTAATTGATCAGAAAGAGAAAGAGAATGAGAAAGTGAAAGTGAAGGTAAAATCCGTAGCCTTTGCTCTATGCTCAGATGATAAGGAGACTCACAGAACCCCTACTTCTGCACAAAGTATATATATCTCTTCCCTTCTTCTTAGCTTTTTCTCTCTGTCGTCTATTTTTATTTGAAGTAAATAATAAAGAAAAACAAAAGAACTTTTTCTTCTTAATTTGTACAAAAGTTGACATTTTAGATTGTGCATAATAATTAATCTTGGGTGATTGCAGAGGCTTCAGATGATGGGGTGTTGAAAAGTACAGAGAGGCTCAAGGACAGAGGTGATTCTTATAAACTCTTTTTTTTTTTCTTTTTTTAAAAAAAATATATATTTTTTGCCCTTTTTAAAAAATTTCAGTTGCTATTTAATTATATTTATATTTGAATTTTGGACATATGGTGCCGATCAACAGCGGCATCATGTGTATTTAGTTGCACTAGATAATTTGAGAATTACAGTTACATGATACAAATTAAATAACACACACAGATCAGATATATATATATGGTTGGATTGTATATTGAAACAAAGACACTGATATGATGGTGGTTGAAACCTTAAAAATTTTGTGTTTGAAAGTGATGTTCCCCTGTTGTACTTGTTAGATGTTGCTTTGGCACAGCTTGAGTTAGAGAAGAGATTGGCTTTGATCAAAGCATGGGAAGAGAATGAGAAAGCTAAAGCTGATAACAAGTATGATTCCCCTTCCCCATCCCTTTTATTTAATTTATTTTAATTTAATTTTCCACTTTGTTTTGGTGTTGAATTTTAAATTTTATTAAGTGTATATATAATACTGAATATTCACCTTTAACAATGATGATCATATCAGGGCACACAAAAAGTTGTCTGCTATTGCAGCATGGGAGAACACTAAGAAGGCTTCTGTGGAGGCTCAACTGAAGCAAATTGAGGTAATAAAACATGCAAGTTTGAGACACTTTGCTTGTCTCAACTAACGTTATGGTCGTGTTTGGTAAAATAATTAGCGTAACAACTAATTTTGAATTATTTGACTACTATAAGCTATTTGACTTGATTAAACAATTAATATGAGTGTTTAATTAATTAGATTTTTATAACAACTTATTGCTCCAAAATGTTAAAATTCAAAAAGCTACTCAAAGTAGCTTTTTCGATATGGTTTTTAAGAAAAATTATTTTGTATGTAATCAGCCAACAACTAACAGCTAATTTGACAAACACTTTTTTACAATCAGCTAATGCTATCAACTAGTTAAACCCACTAACCCAATCAACTAACAACTATCATCTAACAGCATTTACCAAATGGCCCCTATACCATTTGACTTAACAGTACTCCATCCAAACAAATTGTTTATAATATATATATATATATATATATATATATATATATATATATATATATATATATATATATATATATATATATATATATATGACAATTTCATTCTGTCTTAGAATACCCATTGATTGGTTTGACTAATTAAGCAGGAGACATTTGAGAAGAAGAAGGCTGAATATGGAGAAAAAATGAAGAACAAAGCAGCAGAGGTTCACAGGGAAGCAGAAGAGAAGAGGGCAGAAGTTGAAGTGAAGAGAGGAGAACAAATGCTGAAGCTAGAAGAGTCTGCTGCAAAATTCCGTTCAACTGGATATGTTCCAACCAGGTTTTTGGGATGCTTCGGCTGTGGTCTTACAACAGAACTTGTATAGTATGACACAACGTTAACTTGTGGTGCACACAACAGCAAATTAACGTTAGTTGTTTGCTACATTTGATTTGCATTGTTTAATTTGGTCGGTCATGTAATCTCAGATTTATATAATGTATATGTATATATATATATATATATAGTTTGAAATGAGTTATGAGTGTGTAAGTAAATTACAATTTATCTGTTGCGTATGTCTTATGTATTATTAGAAGATGACATATATTTGTAGTGTATAAATATTAAAATGACATGTGTTAGTCTAGTTAGCGTCACGGTAACTTACTAAATACTTTTCTCGTTCCATTTTATGTGTCTTGATTCGGTTAATGATGCGTGACTGAAGTTATTTTTAATTTAATTTTTCATAATATTAAATTTAGTATTAGTATACAAAATTTATATATTTAAAAACTACACTAAATATACTATTAAACACAAAAAATCAAATTTATAAATAAGTAAAAAATACAAAAGAAAATAAACAAAGAAGAAAGACTTGATTTGAGTAATGAATAGTAAGTATGAGAGATAAAATGGGAGAGAGGGATTATGTAATATTTATAACCTAATTCCGTTATTTTGTGGGTTTAGGACACTTCATTGAAGTTTTTAAGTAGGAGACCTAATTGTAGTTACTATTTGTTAGACTAAGAATATAATTTGACACTGATGAGTTAATTATCAAAATGGTTCCTTGACTATAGCGAAATTATCAATTTGGTTATTGATTAATTTTTTTGACCAATTAAGTCCCTCAACTTTACAAATCTTAACTAATTTGGTCCTCCGTTTGTTTTGCCGTTAGACATCTATTAACTTGAGACCAAATTGGTAATTTTACTATAGTCAAGGAACCATTTCAGTAATTAACTTTAGGGATGAGAAATTCGATTCGATTTTTTCGAACTGAACCGAACCGAATTGTTCGGTAAAAAATCGAACCAAACCGACTACCGTTTGATAATAATAATAATAATATTAATAATAAAGAAGTAAATCCAAGTCCTTTGCTACATGCTCTGCCGGCATTCGGTTCTGTTCGGTTGTTTACCGAACAATTCAGTTCGGTTCGATTATCGGTATACAAAAATCCATTATCGTTCGGTTGTTCGGTATATTATGTTCGGTTCGGTACGGTTCAATTCGAGAAAACTGAGCCGAATTGCTCACCCCTAAAGTTAATTACTGAAATGGTCCCTTGACTATAGCGAAATTACCAATTTGGTCCTAAGTTAATGTATTTCTAACGGCAAAACAAACGGAGGACCAAATTGGTTAAGATTTTTAAAGTTGAGGGACTTAATTGGTAAAAAAAATAGTCAAAGATCAAATTGATAATTTCGCTATAGTCAATGGACCATTTTGATAATTAACTCATTTGACACTTTTTCATTTTTTAGAACAATATATAGAGTTAACTAGGATAGTTTGTTCAATATAATAATTTGTTTCTTGTTCAACCTCCTATTATTCTTGACAGTTTGAGACTTGATTTCAGTTGATAAATGAATTCTATTTTTATTTGAAAAAAAAACACACAATATATCGAAGTGTAACTTGTAAGTTTATGACATTCATATCAAACTAACTGATTAATTTATTAAATAAATCATCAATTAATTATGAATTTATTGAAATTGTTAATTGATGGGGATTGGGGATATTGGTGATCAGTTAGGTCAATCGATATGCTATGGACCCGTGTCCAGTATACATTGTAGACACAGATTGAAACGACGTCGTTTCAATGTAATGCATTAACGGTGCCGTAAGTGGCACCGTTATCTTCCACCAATCATCTTTTTATTTATTTATTCAAATTTCATAACCGACTTTCGTCACGATTAAGCATCCATTTTCGCGGGTTTCCTGTCGATCAAGCTTCCATTTCTTCTTCGCAAAAAGCTCGGTTATGAATGTAGAGTTATAACATTATGAACATACAGTTCAGACATTATGAATGTGGAACTCTGGAATTTGCAAATTGTGAATATAGAGTTATAAGTTTATGAATGTAGAGTTATAACATTATGAACATACAATTCAGACATTGTGAATGTGGAACTCTGTAATTTGCAAATTGTGAAAAGAGAGATATAAGATTATGAATGTAGAGTTATAACATTATGAACATACAGTTCAAACATTATGAATTTACAGTTAGAGAATTATGATTGTACAATTATGAAATTATGAATGTACAGTTATGGGATTGTACAGTTATGGAATTATGAACACAGAGCTTTGCCTACCAAACAAATGAATAACGCCGTTAACGGCGAAACAAAATCAAATTTTTTTTAAAAAAAATTGGAATGCCGTCGTTTTCCCTTAAAACGATGACGTTTTGGACTTGTGTTCACAATGCATGGTGGACATGAGTCCACAGCATAATTTGCGTAGTTAGGTTAACTGGGCTTGGTTTAGCCGTACAAGTCAGAGGAGGTAACATGTCAAGGAAGGAATGGTGGGTCGACCTGGCAGGAGGGTGCCTTCGGTCACCGGCGGTTGACCATGAGGGGTCGTCGGTCGGGGTGCTGCCCCCCCCCCCCCCCTCCACCCCCCGCACGCCGTTTCTAGAGGTGGCGCAATGCCGCGGTGCAACGGGGGGTGCCGCCAGCCACCGGCGACCGGCTGGGCGTGGTCACCGATCGAGGTGTTGATCCCGCCGTCTGCCGCGTGCCTCACATCCCCTTTCCCGCTCGCAGGTGGTGCGGTGCGGTGCGGTATGGAGGGCCAGTTCAGTTGGTTGGAGTGGTGCGGCATGTGTGGTGTGATGCGGCATGACATGGTGCGTGGACGTGGGACATGTGAAAGATAGTGGAGAGTGGATCAAGAGTCGTACATGGGTGACCTTGCCTCTCACCCAGACATGATCTGAGAACTAGGGGTGTTCAATCGGTTAACCGAACCGAATTAACCGAAGTTTTTTTTTTCTTTAACCGTTAACCGAACCGAAGTTTGCTCTACCGAATTCACCAAACCGAAATTTTTTTCGGTTAATCGGTCGGTTAACCGATTAACCAAACTTTTTAAAGCTAAAATTTAAAATTCTAAAAATAACATCTAAAATAATAAATCCAATTAAAATAAAATACATATCATAATAAATTCATAACAAAATATACAAAAAAATTAATTATAAACTCCAAACATCCATAACTTCAAATTAGTATTTATATTTATATTATTATTTATATATATATTAAAAACTTCGATTAACCAACATTTCGAACCGAATTAACCGTTAACCGAAGTTTTAAAATTCCTTTAACCATTAACCGAACCGAAAAAGTTCGATTCGAAAACGGTTAACCGAACTTTGTCGGTTCGGTCAGTTAACCGAAAATTATCCGAAGCTTGCACACCCCTGAGAACTATAGACTCCCTGGGTGGTCTTTAGTCAATACTCTCAACCCATTTACCTGGGTGACCTTTGTCAGTATTTCTTTGTATTTGGACTTCCATTTCATTTATATCCAATTTATGATGGACCATGTTCCAACAAAACTATCATTAATTATGAATTTATTAAATTCCAAATAAAATCACATCAATTATTAAAAAAAAACGTGAGATAGAATGAAACTTTTTATAAAAGACACAACAGAGTGTGAGTCTAGCCTATCTTTATCTTTCATTTATGTCACCATTCTTTCTTAACAACATCCTTGGAGACTCTATCTGCAAGTCAAGCACAACAAAGAAATTACGTACCACGGAAGTATGACCTTGACAAACTTACTTAATTTATACTCTAAACACCCATTTGATTTAGTAGATAAAAAACTTCATATGAGACGTACTTAATTGTTTTTAACTGACTTGTTTGTAAAAGTGTAATGCAGTTTAGTATTGAGTCTCTAGCTAAATTAGGTAGATTTACTCCCGGTGAAGCCGGGTTATAAAAAAGAAAAAAATTATAGCCAAGCACAACAAACAAAAGAAACTATATTTAGAGTTATGTAACTCAATTCTAACACAATCTTAAGTGCAATAATCCATTGAAATGGATGAGAGTGATTTATAGACTTGAAGCATTGTTGGGCTTTGATTAGGCATGAATTTGGCGAAATTGTGAGATGGTATCATCAAATCCTCTGTGTGATCACTTCATCTATCTGGAGTGGATTAGTTGTGTAGCTACAAAAAATGATATCTGTAGAGCAGCTCAATTCATAGGCTTCCTTTCTGGTAATGAGCTGAAGAAGCACAATTCCAAAGCAGTAAAAAAGCTGAAATTGTCTCCATATTCAACAGGATGATTCCATGTAGAAGCGGTGTCGTTGGGATTTGTGATCGTTGCTTCCCAGAATTTCGATATTCTTGGCTCGAAATTATGATCCAACAATATGCATTTTGAGGAGAGGCCATTATGCACCACATTTAAGCCACAAGTGTAATGAAGCCATGAGAGGACCATGTAGGGTGCCATTGGGCATGTAGTTGTAAACCGGCCAGATACAAGTTTTGGTTTCCCGGCCTTGACTAGACTACTAACAAATTCTTACCATGGCTTGGTTCCCAATATCCTCTAATTGCTCAGGACATATACTTACATTCTTCTTTCCTATAGCAGCTGCTGCTGCTGCATAGGGAATTCCAAAGACGTAAATAAATAAAGTGAGCAACACAAAGATGGCCCAACCTGTGACAAATCCAGTGAGGAACAAATGATCTTTCTTGGCATGTACATGTAGTGGGCAATCCGGCAATGGAGCTCCGCAAAGTCCTTCATTATAAGCAACATTTTCTGCAGGAATGGAATAGTTTCCAAAATGTGGGACTGGTCCTATCAATCTGTTGTTGGCAACACTGAAATCCTTAATGCGTGTCAACAAACCAAATTGAGGTGGAATTTGGCCTGTTAGCTTATTGTTGTCTAACTTCACCACATTTAAGTATGTGCAGTTTGCCAAACCAACAGGAATCTCACCCGAGAACTGGTTAGACGATAAGTCCAGCGTTGTAATCCACCCCACCATCTTTGTTATATTCCAAGGTATGGTTCCTTTTAGCCGGTTTCTTGAAAGATCTAAACCTGTTAAGCTTAAACATGTTTGAATACCTAGAGGGAAAAGCCCTCCAAGTCCCATGTTAGAGAGTCGGATATTTAGCACTTTGTTCTCATCGGGATGCCAGCAATCAACTCCATTGAACCTGCAGATAAATCCTTCAGTGTTGTTGTTAAAGTTCCAGCTATGAAGGTAACCCAGAGGATCTTCCAACGATTCTTTAACCGATTTCAAGCAATCGATGTCACTCTGTAACGCATGGATTCCAAGTGCAAGTAGTAGTAGTACTACGTAAAGAATAATAAGACATTTGACACCACAGGGACAGGGATACATTATTATTAACTAATTTGAAGCTAATAAGGTTCATCATAAAATATACCGATCCGAGTATTTAATATAATGTTAAAAGAACGGTGAAGAATCTCTGCTGCTTTACGGTGAAGAAACTCTGCTTTCTCTCCACTATTTCCATTCAATTGTTTCACTAATTTAATTAAGTCAACAACGCGTTTGTAACATTGTGAATAAAGAGTTAGTGTGCAAGTTCAAGGAAGATGTAAGGTAAGGTGGCGCCAATATGGTGATGAGCCTTACACCCTTTGAAGCCAAACGTACGTTTGGTGAATTGAGGCAAATTTTGCCATACAAGGTGAACACAGTTCCAAAACTGTTATAATTGTGAATATAGAGTTTTATAATTATGAACATAGAGTTCAATAATTGTAAATATGAAGTTTAAAAATTATAATTATAGAGTTCTGTAATTGTGAATATAAAGTTTAATAATTGTAAATATGAAGTTCAAAAATTATGAATATAGAGTGCAGTAATTATGAACATAGAACCTTGTCCACCTTGTAAGGTGGACACAGTTCCATAGCATAATAATCGGAGAATTGAAGCATGGTGTTGATGTGGCCCTGTACTGGTATAGGGATTACTATAACATGCTGTGTTTTTAAGGGCGGGTTTTAGATTTTTGTGGCCCTGTACTGGTATAGGGATTACTATAACATGCTGTGTTTTTAAGGGCGGGTTTTAGATTTTTGTGGCCCTGTACTGGTATAGGGATTACTATAACATGCTGTGTTTTTAAGGGCCGGTTTTAGATTTTTGTGGCCCCATTTTTGTAAATAAATGAGGCCCTACCAAAAGCGCAATCTTTAAAACTAATACCGTAATTTTTCTAACAATAATAATAAAATATTTCTGTGCGCAAAGAAAAAGACAAAAGACATATTATGTAATAATTTATAATTATAACAATAATAAAAAAAATAATGATGTACACAAAGAATATATATAAAAAAAAAAAGAAAAAAAAAAGGCAAAAGGATTAAAAAAAATGAAAGATGTGCGCAAAGTTGGAGTAGACAAGGTTCAAACCTTCAACCTCCTCCAAGATAAAACACATTTCTCTGTGGAGTCTTTTAATAATAATAATATTGTACGTGATGGATTTAATTACCCGGGGTGAACCCGAATCACTAAACCCTATTAAGAACGTAAATAATGAAAGGATAGAACGATGTTGTTGCAAGGTCGCGGGAACCGTATATTGTATTAAATATTGCTAATAAGCTATTACAAAGCTTGATTAGGACAATATTAGGTGTAAAATAGTGAACATGTCTTAATAAGACAAAGTGGGGAGTTTTTATACAAACCACACCCCTAACCGCCACCCAAACTGGGGGGTGGTTGGATCTGCGTGTTGACCGCGCTCGGGGCACGAGCCCCGGGTCTCTCGTTTGAATGGCTCCCTGGTCGACCTTATTTCGGGTGGAGCCCGTTTATGGCCGACCTCATTAGGGTTGGCACCTACCCCGACCGAGGCCTTGCGCCGAACACGGGGCTCAACCTCAGGGACCTCGAATCTTGCTCCACCTCCCCGGGTCGGTTTGCTCCTGTCGTAATATATCCATCAGTACGCAAAGAATAAAAAAAAATGCGAAAGAATAAAAAAATGAAAAATGTGCGCAAAGTTAGAGTAGACAAGGTTCAAACCTTCAACTTCCTCCAAGATGAAACATCACAGAAACACATTTCTATCATTTTTCCTTGGAGTCTTTTAAGATTAATTACAATTTTATTTTATTTTAATATCTTAACTAGTTGGGTAAAAATTCAATATTAGACCCTCTAAAATTTAAAATCATGTGTTGTTGCACAACTTGCACAGTTCAAAATCTGGCCCCGTGTCTTTCACTCCCCATTTTCTCTGATCTCTTTCTTTGCATTATTGCTTCTTCCACCACTAGCTACCTCAGTACCTCTGCCCACCATTTATGCACGTACAATAGATAATGCTTAATTACAAGTTAGCACTGTATCATATATGTACGATGACTCGATGAGGGATGAGGGGTCGAAAATAATTTCTCTCAATAGTTAATCATTACAAGGATGGCAACGGGCGAGGGTGGAGAATATATTTCCCGTTAGGGGTGGACAAATTTCGGTCAACCGACCGAATTGATAAAGTTCGGTTAATCATTTTTTAACCAAACTTTTTTAATTCGGTTAATGAGTAAAGGAATTTTAAAATTTCGATTAACGGTTAATTCGATTCGAAAGTATCGGTTAACCGAAGTTTTTAATATATATATATATATATATATATATATATATATATATATATATATATATATATATATATATAATTTATAACCATTTAAATTATCAAAAAAATTCAAATTTTTCTAGCTACCAGGCGCTCTTTAAGAAATTCTACATTTACCATTATCACAATGCTCATAATTAAGTTCTAACATTATGAATGGTTATAAGATAACAGTGAACACCTACATAAAGACCAAAAGCAATAGTTTTCCGAAAAAAAAAAGTCCAAAAGCAATATATTATTACACTCATAATTAATAAGTTGAATGCTAAGATTTATAGCAATTTTATTTGAAGTTGGGAGATGAATTCATCAATGTTTTTGTCAGTGGTACCTCCTTCATCAACTGCCTCCTTAGCCAATTTTCTCCATTTTAAAGCATTGTTTTTAAGGATGTTTCCTCTCTCTCCAAACATGACTTCTCTTATACACCCCTCTATTTCTTCTCTTGTAACAATTCCATCTCCACCAGCTTTAACTCGAACTCCTGTTTCCCAAACATCCATTATATACTTTGCGTTGGTGGGTTGGTCCGACCATTGTGGCATCCCCACCATCGGCACTCCCAAGCTCAATGCTTCCAGTGTCGAATTCCATCCGCAATGAGTCATGAAACAGCCAGTAGCGGGATGAGCCAAGACATCCAGTTGTGGACTCCAGTTTACGATTAGACCTTTCTCCGATGCCTTGGACTTAAAATCCTTTGGTACCTTGCTGTCTTCCGAGGTTCTCACAACCCACAAGAAGTAGCAGTTGCTCCTCATCAACCCCCACGCTAGTTCCTCCATCTGCTTCTCTCCAAGACTGGCTAAGCTCCCAAATGAAACATAAACAACCGAGCCAGTTTCCCTGGAGTCGAGCCACTTGATGCAAGCTTCACTATTTGGCTTGAATAAACTCATTCCGTAGTCTTTGTCATCCTTCAATCCTTTGTCCAAGTACATAGATGGGATAGTTGGCCCTATTGTCTTTATTGCACCTTCATGAGATATCCATTCCACCACCTACAAACACTTCCCACCACACATTAATCATCTCTTGGTACCATTTGCATTTGGTACATTTGTTTTTAAATCCAAGTATTTTTGGGTGACAAGGGAAACCCGCAGGCCACAGCCACTACCCGAGGGTGTGCAATAGGAAACCCCGCCTTGTGACCCTAGCCGGCAAAGGACCCAAAAGATGTAACCAGCCTACGTTACCGACTCAAACCAAGAAGGCCAATAGGCCGTTCCCGCTAGGAGTTGAACTTGTAACCTTGTGGTCTTTTTACATTGAATAGAATGTGGTTGACCCTACAATCTCTTATTTAAAGGTTCAAATTTAATGTGACTAAATTATTTGGGGTTCTTGGCCACTTATTTGAAATAGTACACCTTATGTTGTCCATTTCAATGGCAAAACTAACTTTTCTTTTCTTTTCATTTGTTTTTTAATATTTTCTTATAATTTCACATTTTATGTTTAATAGAAATGTTAATATATTTCAAAATGTTTAAATCATTTTTATTCATATTAAATTAAATAATACAAAAATAAAATTGTAAATAGTGTAACTACACCAAACCTCTAAAATGGGGCATATGGGGAAGGACAGAGGGAGTAGTTATGAAAATTACCTCCTTTTCCAAATTATCAAAGCTGTTGAAGAGCAGCCACTCAGCTTTCTGAAAATTCATACTCTGGTTGATGACAATTTTGGAAAGTGATGGATAGGACTGAGTATCTATGAAAAAAGAAGGCAAGTCCTGTAGTCCCATCACCGGCATTATTGATGGCAATGAAACGGAGGAATTCTCGGTTGTAGAAACTTTCAGCTTTCCACCGTACATAAGGTAGTATATTCCACAGACAGCACAAGATTGAGTGAAAAATGCAGCGCCTCTAAGGCCATGGTTTTGAGCCAAGTCTTGTGCCCATGGCAAGACAGAATCGTACACAACAACCTTCAGTGGGCAACCAGAGCCCTCCATTTTGTCAATGAGATTCCTGAAACTCCGGGAAACTATGGTTTCAAACCATTCCAGGAGTTCGTCAATCCCATGGGGTGGCTTATCATCCTCAGAAATGCACTCAGTTTGAATTAAATCACCGTGCTTAGTCTGCAAGGAAGTGGTAAGGTAAGCTGGTGCCAGTATGGTGACTCTCACGCCCTTAGATGCCAAACGTTTGGAGAACTGAAGCATCGGGTTGATGTGGCCTTGTACTGGCGCCGGGATCACTACAACATGCTGAGCTTCGCTGCTCATTTTCTCTCTTCACTGCTTCTTCCGTTCCTTCTGCCCATTATTTTTATAAACAGTAGATCATACTTGCAAATGCTCTGTTTCAGCACAGCAAAAACACATGTATAAATACAATCCACAGCATCTAATCTGCTGCCACTGTTGTGGGGCCACAGCTCTGAACTCTAACATGCATTTCATAAATGAGGGGCCAAAATTCATTCCACCGCATTGGCAATTGGCAAATCTTGTACATAGTCTGTAAAGCTAGAGAAAATTAGTCAATATTCTTCAAATATCAATCATCATAAGCATCTAGTTAGTTGTAACTATAGATCAATACAGGTACCATATATATGATAGATCTTTGGGCTCACAATTTTTTGTTTCCAGAATTGGAATAAGCTTCAAAGCATCAAAAGTGTCCTAGGCTAAATATAGAGGGGTCCAAGATGTAGTTGAAACATAAGGAATTTATATATGCCAGTTTAGATCCAAGTGTTATTAGAACAATAGAACTCACCAAAAAATGAAGCTTTTGATGGAATATCATGACAAATAATAAAACTTATAAAATCACTCCATAAACAAGGACAGAACAGTACCACAGGCTGTGAATGGAACATCATAGGACATTAGTTCAATTCAAAATATATAGAGAAACAAAAGCTCAGGCTTGATGAATCAATCCATGAAACAGTAAAATTAGGAGGCACAATCAATCTTTATTACATTTATGAATAATAAAATTTAAGATGCAATAAAAATCCAAACTCTATTTCTGATTAACTTTCCTGTGCAGTGGATATAAGTCCTGCTAATACAATGAAAACTTTCTTGTTTCAGCCACTTTAGAAAAGGGTTATTTATGAATCCCTTGGCATCCAATCCTCTTATCTATGCATCATTCCTTAATCTGACCAACTTTGGACAGCTCATTTAATTCCCGTCTTTCATTCTCACTCATTTATATAAAACAGTAGGTCAGCTATGATCTTTCACAGAATATATTACATTTAGGGGATAATGTGATAATAACAGTTTACCTGAAATATTTAAGGTGTCCTGCATATGCTCCAAGAACCATCCTTGCATCTATCCATGAAAGAGCCTCATTAAAATACACAGAATTAGTCCTCAACACCCCCACTAAACTTCTCGGTTGACAAAATAATCCCATTTATTTAAACCCTAAAACACTACACCGTCACCAATATCAATCACAACCTCTGCACTCAACATGCCACCAAGTCCAAAAGCACACTAGTATATGAAAAATGCAAATCCCCAAATACATAGGTGTATACCAATCACCATCCTTAACCCTTCCAATAACCCTATATATCCAGTGTCAAAGTAATGGTTCTAGAACAAAGTTAAGTACATATAAATGGTTGAATAGAAGAAAGGTGGACTACTTCTACACCCCCAAGTTATTCCATTTGTCTAGGAAAGCTAGCCACGCTTTATGGTTCATACTGGAAGGCTCAAATGCTTTGAGATCATAAAGCATGTAATATTCATCAACAAGGAAAAACCGCTTCGATTTCCTACTTCTCCAAGTAGTTGATCTAAAGTAACCCACAATCGTGGCAACATCTTTTGGACTCTGTACAGACCATTCGTAGTAACCATTTCGACCACTATCAAAGTAGACATTTCCACCAAATACAACCTTATAAGACTCCACATCTTGCAGATGTTTACTAGTTACTCGAATACTTAGTTGAGGTATTTGATGCTTCATAGCCATACCAATGGCACCATTAGCATCAAAGAATCCTGCAAACCAGTTCGATTTGGAATCCAGTGTAACAGGTAGAAGTACTGGAATATGGTGTACTTGACAGACACGATGCAGTTGAATTAACCTTGGCGAATGCCTAATGTGGCCATTAATACAATTCATGAGCTTAATCATACTAAGCTGATCACGCAGTCGATAACGATAAGATTTAGCACCTGACCTCATTTTAATACTTCCACCAAGCATATGTTGGACATATCTTAGTAGTGCTATGTCTTCAAGTCCAATAGTAATTTCAAGAGAAGTATGTTCTTGGTTGTTAACTTGAAGACTTCCATCGCCATCGATAATTCCAGCTAGCCATTCACAGAAGGGTTTAGGATAAGTTGTTGCAGAAGCAGTCTTTGAGGCTCCTACTAGGCTGCTTTTATGTCGCTGGTTACCTAGATTGCGATTGCGAAACGGGAGAAGCCCTCCGCCAAAATTCTTCATCAACGCTTGAGGGTTTGCCAAAGATAAACCGCCATGGGAGGAACCCAAACAAATTGGGTTATTGTTGAGTTCTGGGTTGCTATTGGATCTGTAAAAGCAACGAACTTTCTTGTCTCCGAGCAGTAGCAGGCACGGGGCGGAGGGTGAGGGGATGGGTCTCGGGTTCGAATCCGGGTCCGGGTCCGGAGAGGCAGATTGAGCCCTCAGAGAGCGATGATATTGGAAAGAATAAGAGGCCTGATGCGAGCGGTTCCACCGGAGAGTAGAAGAGGAGAGAGATGGGTGAAGGGATCGCCTGAAGAACGATCTTAGAACAACCATGTTTTCTGGTTCTGTATTCGCCGGAGCTGAGCTTTTGTTAATTCAGAAGTAGGAAGGGTTTACTAGGGAAAATGGCACTTTTTCCCCCTGAGTTATATACTTATAGCATTTTTTTTCCCTGAATTATTTAAGTGGCTTTTTTTCCCCTGAAATGTTAAATGGACATATTTACCCTTAAAATAAATATTTAAAATAAATATTTCATTTATTTTTCTTCTCCAACAAATTATTACTATCATTTGGTTCAAACCAAACAGATACTATAGCACAAAACCAAAATATTCCAATTACAATTTATAATCAAAATGTGATATTTAAAGTTTATTAAAATCGCGAACTGGAATGGTTGGTTCATGTTCCGAATTGAAATAATAAAATACATTTATTGTTGAATTTAGACTATTTTAAAATAAAGACGGTTCAAAATCGCGAACCGGATCCGGAACCGTCGGTTCACGGTTCATGATCCAGTTTTTTTTATTCTTAAATTTAATAAATTGAAATCTAAATATTGAGTTCTAGATCTGAATTATAACCGAAAACTTTTAATTCGATTGCTATAGTGTCTGGTTCAGTTCGAACCGAACCGTGATAATCGCTACATATACACAATAATTTGTTGGAGAAGTAAAATAAATAAAATGTTTACTTTAAGGGTAGAAATGTCAATTTAATATATTAGGGGGAAAAATCACCACTTTTAAAATAATTGAGGGGACTAATGTGCTTACATAAATAATTGAGGGGGAAAAAGTGCTATAAATATATAACTTAGGGGGAAAAAGTGCCATTTTCCCCTTTTTTTATTTGGGCTTCTTCTTTTTCTTTTTCTTTTTTTTTTTTAATAATTGATGTGATTTTATTTGGAATTTTAATAAATTCATAATTCAAATTTTTAGAGAGTCTTTAAGGCTCTGTTTGGCAAACCTAGCTGAAAAGCTATAAGCTAGGAGCTGATAGCTGAAAAGGAGCTGAAAGCTGAAAAGCTATAAGCTCGGAGCTGAAAATTGAAGAGCTGTTAAGCTAGCTGTTATGATTGAAAGTGTTTGGTAAAATTAGCTTTTTGACAAGCTGATAAATGTAAAAAGACTAAAAAGGACATCTTCATAAACTTTAAATTAGTTTGTTTACCAATTAAAATTTAACATTTCGTCTTCCAAAAAAAATAAACACTTTTTAAAATAAAACTATTAGCATGATCATGATCTAGCATCCCATAATGAAGTAGCAATATTGTTGCGAATCTCCTTCATCTCCATAGAGGTGTGACTTAAATTTTCGTTGATGGAGATATTACTACTTGAATTTGAGATATTAGAGGTGTGACTTAAATTTTCGTTGGCGGCTCTTGTTCAATTTGAGAATGAAGCCATATTGCTAATTTAATAATAATAATAATAATAATAATAATAATAATAATAATAATAAGCTAAAGTTTCAACATAATTGTTTAGCAGGAAACATGACTAAGGAAGGGATTGACGTGAAAGTTGAGATAGGGGAAGAGAAAGGGTTTTAATTCATAAGGTTAAAATATATCATTACTTTAAAATAATAAGGGTAAAGATGGAAAAAAAAGTTAGGAAGCTAGGAGCTTATTTTGAAACGCTACCTAAAGTAGCGTTCCAAAATAAGCTCATATTTTAAGCTAGGAGCTTATTTTGGGAACATTACCAAACAGAGCTTATAGCTTATTAGTAGCTTAAAATAAGCTATAAGCTCCTAGCTTAGCGTTGCCAAACAGAGCCTAAAAGTCATGCGGTATTCAATCAAGATTTTTAAAGAGTCTTTAAAAGTTGTGTGGTATTCGATTAAGACTTTTAAAGAGTCTTTAAAAGTCATGTGGTATTCAAAAAGTTATGAACTTTTGTAGACTTTTTAGTTTTAAGACTTTTGTAGACTTTTCCTTCTCAAATATAAATAGTTGAAATCCAACCACCAACCTCAAGATTTCAAAATTTTCTTTCTTACAACTTTGAATGTTTTCTCTCCCTATTAAAACTCTATTTTTTTTTCTCCCTATTTAAACTTTATAAATCTCTCTAAATTCAATAAAATTATTTTTTATTCATTATCCAATATTTTCCTCATACATAAACTCTACTAATTTTTCTCTCTCTCCTAAACTTTACAATTTTCATCTAAAAATTTGAAATAATATTATTTTTATTTTTATTTTTTCTATGAATTTTTTATCCCTAACTTTCTCTAATTCCCTCTAAATACATGAACAAAGCAAAATTTTCATTGTCAAATTTTAGTGCAAGTTTCATTATATTCATATAAATACTTATATATTTTGTTTTTTTTTTATTCTTTTTATGCTTATATTCGTAATATATATTTTTCCTTTTTTAACAACAAGTTACTACGAAAGTACGAAACCATAACAATTTGGGGTTACAAACAGTAGCACATTGTTGTTGTTCGCAGTCTCAAATTGCTATTGCAAATAATAGTACTTTACGTGATAGATACCTAATAATATATCAAGTATAATTTATATATATATATATATATATATATATATATATATATATATATATATATTATTAATAATAGATTTTTATTTCTTTATTTTATGGAACTTGTAAATATATTTTTAAATATTTTATTTGATCAATTCTTTTATTATAAATTTTATTGTTTAATATTGTTATAACATTCTAATGAAATAGTTTTTTTTTTTGTTGATGTTTATTAATATATATATATATATATATATATATATATATATATATATATATATATATATATATATAAAGTAATTAGCATTTTTTTTTGAAGAATAAATAATTAGCATATAAGTCTCAACATACTATGGATAAAAATAATAATCTTCAGAATGTTGATGTGGGTGAAGAACTATATAATAAGAAGAATTTTATGATATATTATAAATGTTTTGTAAGAAAAATATAAATGATAAGAATCAAAATCATTGAAAGTTTGTAAGGATGTATTCAATTTAGAATTTCAATGACTTTTGTAGATTTTTTAAAATAAAAAGTTGATAAAAGTCTATGAATGTTTTTTATATAGACTTTTATAGAGTCTTATAAAGTTTTAAACGACTCTATGAAAGTCAATCAAAGTTTATTAAAATCTATCATTTTAAAAGTCTTTAAAACTCTACAAAAATCATGATTGAATACACTCCCCTAAATGTAATCAATCCTTATTACATGGACCATAAATAAAAAAAATATATTTTTAACAATTATTATTGTGTGGACCATGGTTCATACAAGTTGTGTGGATCATATTTTGTACAGTATAAAATAATGTACATTCAGTATAAAAGTAATGTACATTCAGCACAAAAATAATGTACATTGTATTCAAGAGATGTACATTATTTTTGTACTGAGTGTACATTATATTGTATGTATATTCTGTACAAAAATAATGTACATTTAGTATATTAAAAATGTACTTTTTGTTATGGTCCACATAACACTGTGTGGACCATGGTCCATACAATAATTTACCTATTTTTAATAGGAATAATGGGCAAATAGACCACTCAACTACGCACCAAATTACAATTGGGTCATCGAACTCAAAAAGAATGCAATTGGGTCCCTGAACAACGCAAATACATGCAATTCAATCCAAATTGACTTGTTTACCTGGAAAGGTGGTAATCGAATTTTTAAGAATATTTTTTTAATAATTTTAAATTAATATTAAAATTTAAAAAAAAAAAAAAAAAAAAAAAAAAAAAAACCCTCCGTCTCCGCCTGAGACGAAGCCACTTTCGGCTCAGGCCGTTTCCCCCGTCAAGGAGACAGCCTGAGACGAAGATCCCTTCGTCTCTGGCGGAGACGACGTGATTTTTTTTTTTTTTTTATAGATTTTTTTATTTAAAATTATTTTTAAAAAAATTTAAATTCGGTAACCGTCTCTCTAGGTAAACAGGTCATTTATGGATTGAATTGCATGAGTTTGCATTGTTCAGAGACCCAATTGCATTTTTTTTTAGTTCGATGGCCTAATTGCAATTGAGTGCGCAGTTGATTGGCCTATTTGACCCTTATTCCTTTTTAATATATTAAAGGTACATTATTTATATATGTAAAGGTACATTATTTGAGAGTATCTCTCTCGGTCCGCGTACAGTAACCCTAGGCGAGTTTGGCCGATTTTCTCGCGCCCAGGAGTTCATTCGAGGCGGCACTCCTGGCGGTTCACGGCGGCTTTTGCCGTCCAGCGTGGCGGGTAGTCCCTTCGAGGAGGCAGCGACAAATCCCAGCCGGGTCGTGGCGGCGGCAACGGCAGTAATGGTGGACTGCCAGTCAGTCAGATCTGTGGTCGTACGGGGCACTCCACTTTGGCTTGTTACAATCGTTATGATCCTCCTCCACAGGAAAATTGACATATTAGAATGACCATGCAGATCCTAATGGCTCTCAGACATGGATTCCTGATTCTGGAGCAACCAATCATGTGAATCCAGATATTGCGGCTCTATCTACATCAGAAGAGTACACAGGTAATGACACATTGCATGTGGGTGATGGTAAGACACTTTCTATTAGTCGTGTAGGTCATGCTTCTTTCAATACCCCATCTCGTTCCTTCCAATTATCTAATATCCTTCATGTTCCCAGTGCGTCTACATCTTTATTATCTGTTCAAAAATTTGTAATCGATAACAAGGTGTTTTATGAGTCTCACTCATCTTTTTGTTGTTGTGAAGGATATCAACACCAAGGAAATTATACTTAAAGACAATAGTCATAGAGGCCTCTATAAACTTCCAATTGCCACTCCGTCTCCCTCTGTCTTCCTTACCGGTCGTACATCTCCGCCAGTGTGGCATGATCGTTTAGGACATCAACATCATCGTGTTTTAATTCGTATTCTTCAGTCATGTTCGGTTAGTGGATCTAATAATTCTGTTCGATGTAATTCTAGTTCGTGTAATGCGTGTCAATTGGGCAAATCTTCTCGATTCCCGTTGTCACGTGTTGAGTCCTCTAGTTCTAGTATCCTTGACCTAATATACACAGATATTTGGGGTCCAGCTCCTCTTTTGTCAATTGATAGCTATCGTTAT